ACTACTTGGGAGAGGGAGGGAGGGGGAGGCAACAAAATGGGAATAAGCTGGGACCCTCACACACTCAGTTCCAACTTCATTTAACACTGTTTTGAGAAAAAGGACCACTTCCCCCACTCCAAAGAGAAAAGTCTACATCTCAGTTTGTGGTCGCAGAATCAGGGACCATCTCCCCTACCCAGAGGGGTGGGTGCCTTCACTGTCCTGGAATAAGGGGCCGTGGCAGGCAATCAGCAGGAAAGATGGGAGGCAACAGGTGGGAGTAGCCCTCAAGATGGAGTGTCAAGGACCAAGGGACAATCAGGACTTTACAACACAAAATTTTATCTCCATCCAGGAGCCCCAAGGAAATGAGCACTGGCAGGGTAGGCACTGGCTTAATGAGTGTGGGATAAGAGGTATGGTGTGGTGCCTCCCCTGCCCAGCTTATCCCTCTAGGCCGTATAACCTCTACCAGGACCACTGCAAGGGCATTCTGCCCTGCCCCGCTACTACTCTCCAGATCTCTCCATGAGTGGGTTCTTCACTTCTGTAGGCATTAGCCTCCGTATTTTTAGGGGTGCTTACCAGGTCCCTGGCCCTGGGCTCTCAACTGTCATGTCAGGGTGGGTGGGCTGGCTGGCTCCTCACTTCTTTCTCCCCTCTTTCACTCCTGAGTGACTCAGGACTCCTTTCACATGGTCAGCTGACTGCCTCACCAAATGGCCCTGCCGCCTGTTCAGCCTTGTCTCTGGCTTCATGTGTCCCTGTCACTATACACCTGTTCCTGGGTCAACACCAAGGGAGAATCTGGAGGGCCATAAATCTCTCTCTCCCTGCCACTTCCTCAAATCCCTTAGTCACAGTTGTCACAAACACTTCTGGGGCACAAAGCACCTTGCCCACCCTGAGCCAGATAATGTTTCCCCTCTTCTGAGCACCCCCTTGTTTCTAAACCCACTGCAAGCACCTCTAGAGGCATCTATAACTTCAGTACAGCATCAGAGAATTACGTGGGTGGAGGGGGCAGACCTCAGTTCCGGTATTGGGCTTTATCATCAATCAGCCCAGGGAAGCTGGCCAGGTTACCTCCTACCCCTCACCTTTAGCTCCCCTCTGTAAAAGGGCTGCTAAGATCCCAGTGAACTCCAGGATTCTAGAAACATTCTGTCACCAAAGTGCCAATCAGGACTCATCAGGATTGGGGTAGGGATGTATAATGAGAGACTCCATCTTCCTTAGGCTGGGTGGCTCCTGCTTGTACTATAGCCTGAAGGTGAGACAGGTCTCCTCTTGCCCCGGGGTGACTCATCAGCAGGCAATGCCCACACCTCCCTTCCGAAGCTGTACCTTGGCAGGCCTCGACTGGGAGTTTCTGTGGTTTTCCACACTAAACCCACAGAACCATGAACATCTCCCCATGTGTTTTCAATGAAGGCTGCCTCCCCTCAGAGCCTTCAAGGGGTGTGCCCACAGCCCCACTGTCCCAGATGCTCTAACCTCAGCCCAGTTATAAGGCAGCCAGGTTCAGGTAGACAGGCATGCAAGGGTCTGGCTGCTCTGGACACAGCATTCTCCCCTTAGCCTCCTGTGCCCCCTTTAAAAGCCAGGAGGCTGCTGGCAGCCCGGGGGCTTTCTAGATAATCTTGGCAAAGCCCACCTGTGGGGCTGCTCCATCCGTCCATCCGTGTGGCATGGTGAGATGACAGACTTCCAGGCAAGGGTTGTCCTGATGGCCTGCATCCACATGGGTAGGCTTGAGTGTGCAATGTCTACTCTTCCACTTTCACCCCTCATCCCCCAAACCCTCATGTTCTGGCAGCAAACACAACCCACTGGAGAAGACAGAGGGAATGCGTTCACTTTCTATTCCTGTGTGGTGCCTAGAAGTCTGGTCCAGACACACCTTGTTTACAAAAATTTTTCCAGAAGCAATACCATGAAAACATTTTATTCTGATAGAGAGCAATGGTAGAAGTTGAAAATCACTAGAGTTTCATTGCAAGACCCTTAGTCCACAGGCCTCCCTTCTTCCTAAACTGTTTCTGCCACCACCACAAGGCTTTGCCCCTGTGAGACCAAGGATACAGCAGATGAGTTGTGAGGGGATTGGAATGGCTTTGCAGGACACCAACGGGCACGATCCTTGGCACTAATACCCCAAGAAGATGTTAGTGTCTCAGCCTAACCAGTCAGGTTAAGCTCCAGGAGGGCTTGGGCACCGTGGCTTTCAGACGTGTGGGGTGCTATGTGACAGTGTCATCTCTATCCGTGGAGCATCTGGGTTGTGACTGAGGGGGCGGAGAGTTTCCCAAGCTTCATGCAGGACAGCCACAGCTCATTACACCTGGGTTGGATGAGGGAGCAGGTTTGCTGAGAGCCATGTGCTAGATCCCCTATTTTCAAACTGTGTCTACTCAGGAGCCAGCATCCTAAAGTGAAATTCTGAATTTGCAGTTAGTTTTACCCCCCGAGATTTAAATGTGCACAAGCGTGCACACACCACACAAAACATTGGTTTAGCAACACGCTCTTTTTCCCTGGTGACCTCTGACTTCCTCTATTTGCCCCAGAGACAGGTCACCACCTTCTCTGAGAAGGATCTGGTTGGCCCTCCCTTCCGCCCCTTCTCCCTCCCACAGGGCCCGTACCCCGGCAGGATCCCGATTCCTGAGCATTCCCAGAACAGGAAGCCAAAGAGGCAGGCAACGCATGATCCTTGGTATATAGCACACAGTGACAGGCTTGAGATGGAATGCATACGTTTCGAAGATAAGAGAACAACAAAAAAGACAGCCAAACCCAGACTTCCAGATTCCTCTCTGAAACAACACGTTACAGATAAAAGGTTAAGCTGTTTCTGGCAGCAACTCTAACAAGACCAATTTCAGCTATGGAATTGATCTGGTCACTGGAAACTGACCAGGCCTCTGAATCTGGTAACAGATTTGTTTGACATTAATGAGTCTGTCTGATTTGAAACAAACACATAGACAAGATCTAACACTTGGCATTAGCACTTAAGCTGGAACCTTTTTTTTTTTTTTTTTTTTTTTTTTTTTTGGTCCTGGCTTTGGTGTTGCCGTCCAGAAGGCTGAGGGGATGGTTGGACCGTGTCAGGCAGGGCAAACAGAAGCTGTTCCCAACACACCAGTTCCCTGAAAGGGATAAAACACGATCCGAACCTATAAACAGAAAGATCATTTCCTCCCCAGGACAGACCCCAGGCTGTCCCAACATTTAGCGTTGAAAAGGAACACGGAGGCCTGGAAGGAATTTACAGAAGGTTGGGACGGGGGAAGGGGGAAGGAAAAAGCAACTGTTCCCCAGCCCCCATTCTTCTTTCTAGGCCACGGGTGTGCCAGGCATTCCGTTCCTTCAGCTGCCCTTGAGGGCCACTCCCCATATACACTGGAGAAAAGGGAACGGGTGTCCAGACCTGAAAAGTTACGAGGGAGTGAGAAGCACCCGCGACTCAAGGCAGAGCGTCAACCTATGACCTCATCACCTCAGACACCAAAGCGGGTGCCTGTATGTGTGGGGAAGACCCCTCTCTCCCCTCTCCCCCACGCCCCTTCTGATTTTAAAAAATGCGATTTAAGTGGCGGGGACAGAGTGGCAGGACTCTCGGAACCCGGGACCCCTGCCGTGGGCCCCGGGCCGAAGACGCGGTAGTCGCGCCCCTCAGCTCCGCGCTCCCCGGCTCTGTCTGTCCCTTCCTGGGAACAGACAGGCGAGCGCTGACCTTGGAGGCCAGACCGAGACCCAGGGGTCCGGTGACCCGCCCTCGGGCCGGAAAGGGACCCCCAAGGCCCAGGCTGGGGCCACACAGGGCAATCACGTGACACCGGACAGGGGTGGCCCCCAGGGTGCGCGGAAGGAAAACCCCAGAAAGGGACCGGGCGACGCCTAAGGTGACCCCGAGGGGACAACATGGCGGCACCGCCGCACTGAGGGCCTCTTATCCCGTCCCCAGGAGGCCGACGCCACGGTACCTGCGAGCCCTGCCATGGCGCCGCCGCCACTGTCGCCTTCGCTGCCGCAGCCTGCCTCCACCTCAGCTCGCCGCCGACGCCGCAGGAAGCCGGGGAGACGCCCCCTTCGTCTTCTAGTGGAGCAGACCGAGGACCCCTCCTGGGATCGGGCTGCCTCCAGCAGACGCCTGATCAAAAGACCCAAACCTGGATCGTCCTCACCCGATATTCCCTCAATATCCGCTTTATATGAGCCTTTGAAAACTTTCTATGTATGTGTGAGGAATTCTGGAGGTTCTCAAGTCTTCAAGCCCGAAGAATTTTCAATCAGGCGCGTTTTGGGTAGTCCCGAATCACGGTTTCATGGTCCCCTCATGCATATGCAGCAGATTGTGATCCTTACTCTTTGAGAGCGGAGGGGGCGTTCCTTAGTTTCCGTGGGTGAACTCTTGATTCCAATGCCCCATGTGGATCGCCCGTGTCATCCGGGAAAACCTTCCTGTGGCTCAAAGTCCGCCCCCTCCCTGGCTCTTTCACCAAGCGGCCAAAGTTCAGGAGCGGAAAAACCAGGTTCAGAATTTAAGACCAAACGTGGGGCAGGACCTGATTCCTCCGCTTTCACTATACCTCGGGCAACTTGCCTACCCCGGTTCTCACCCAGCTTCCCTAGGTCTGATGAAATGCCTACTCCACAGCGTTGTTATGGGGGATTGAATGAGTCATTTATCAGCTAATTAAGCGCATTCCTTGAGCGCTTACTCTCTGTTAAATGCATTGCTAAAAGCAAGTGGAGTAGAGGGCGGCTTAGACACTGCTCCAACCTGCCATTCTAGTGGGGTGAAGTGTAGGGGCGGCGGGTGGAGGAGGAAAGAGAGTCATCAAATAATCACTATGTGTCAATAATATTAATCAAATCAATATATAGTTATGCAGCATGGGATGCGCGGTGGGAAAGTAAGGATTATGAAAAATGAATGGGGTCCTGACATAGGGTGAGGGTAAGGGTGGATCATCCTTGCGAAGCTGACATTTAGATTGAGAAACCAAGGACAGTTAGGAGTTGTGCAGGGCAAGAGTAAGGGGAAATGCACTAAGCAGAAAGAACCATTTGTGCCAGATGAGGTGGGAAGGAGTTGGGGGCGGCGGGGGCACGAGGGATGAGCAAGGAGTAGGGCAGGTAATGGTACCAAATGAATTTGGATTTTATCCTGAGAGTAATGAGGAGCCATTTTCATAAGGGGAATGATAACAAATTTGGATTTCTGAAACGCTACCCTGGCTGCATGGCTTGGAAGACAGTTGGGAGCAGGTGTGGGGGGACCAGTTAGAAGGCTGTTGCAACTTTCTAGCTGCAAAGTAACAATGACTCAGGGTGGCGGTTTGGGGAGGTAGAGAAGTAAAGGATGAAAGCTTGCATGTGGGTGTGTGCTAAGGCAATGGCAAGAACATCTAGGTTTTTGCCTTGAGTAGGAAGGAGTCAAGAGCCCTTCACTAAGGTAGTGAAACCTGAAGAAGGATCAAATTGAGGGAGAGGATACAGAGTTTGACTTTGACAAGGCAAATCTGAAATGTCTGGGCAACATCTAGGTGGAGAGGGTCAACAGGGATTTTTATATGAGATGAGCTCAGAAGAGAGGTCTGGGCTGGAGATTCATATTTGGGTAACATCAGCACACAGGTGATGGATGGGATCATGATGCTGGATGAGATCCCAAGGGAGGGAAGATAGATTAAAAACAAAAAAAAGTAGAGGAGGAGGAGCCAAGAAAGGAAGCTGAGAAGCAGTGTCCAGACAGGTAAGAGGAAGACCAGGTGAATATGGGATCCCAACGAGAAGGTTTCAAGAAGGAGAAAGTGCTCAGTGGGGCCGATTGCTGTGGCGGACAGAAATGGCACCACTGGGTTTGGTTAAAAGGAGGGCTAATAGACTATATCCTTTATAAGTCCCCCACCCCCGCCAACAAAACAAAACAAACAAACAAAGAAAACCACCAAAAAAAAAAAAAAAAAAATCCACAAATCAATTGGCTTAAAAATAAGAAGGCTGCCACCCAATGGCAAATTAATTGAGTGGCTTGGCAGTGCAGTGTCATCATGGACATTCCATCTCCCAGGTTTAATTCCATCTTTGATCTGCTATCCTCATGATGGTTTCATGCTCATGGTCATAAGATGACTACCCCAGTTCCTAGAGTCACATCCACATCAAGATGTCCACTCCTCCCCCAGCTGAGAAACAAACTGGATGTGGCCTCGGTCTGTCTTGCTGCTAATGGGCTGAGGGATCAACGCACCCATTCCAATCTCTGGTGTTCCAGTATCCAACACTGGAAGAAAAGAGGAGTCTCGGAGTAGAGACAAGGACGTGCAGCCACTGAAATTCTTGCATACAGCTGGTGAGAGAGGAAATTGGTACAGCCACTTCTGCTAACCGACGGTTTCTACTAAATCCGAACATACACCTCTGCCGTGACCTAGAATTTCCACTCTTAGGTATTCATTCTGAGAGAAATGAGTGCCTATGTCTACAAAAAGACTCACGAAAGAATTTTAGCAGATTTATTTATAGCTTAAACTGGAAATAGCTCAATGTCCATCAGTAGGAGAACTGACAGATTATGGCACGTTCATCCAATGGAATACTATATTATACATATAAAAGTATAATATACTGACATGTGATATGTGGATTAATATCACATACAGTGACATTAAGCTGACTAAAAGGACCCAGACACAAAAACAATACATATGGTATGATTCCGTTCATATATAAAGTTCAAGGGTGGGCAACAATGACTTATGGTGATAGAAATCAGAATAGTAGTTACCTGGGTCGCGGGGAGGGGAGTAGAGATGGAAAAGGAATAAGAGGGACTTTTCTGGGATGCTGGAAAAGGTCTATATCTTAATCTGCTTGGTGACTACATGGGCACAAATTCATCAAGCTATACCTTAAGATTAGGAGACTTTATATACTTTATGTGTGTTATAGCCCAAGAAAAATAAAATATAATAAAAGAGAGGACGATGTCCTCCCAATCCACAGTATGTGATTTGTGCTGCTGAGCAAGAATCAGAAGGCAGTTTTTGGAGAGACTCTGCCTTCCAGTAACCTTCATGCTAGGTCTGGGCATTGACAAGGCCTCCCTGGCCAGCCCTCTTCCCCTTGGGGCCCCAGAAAACTGGAGAAAGTGAGGCAGGGCTTCTCACTCACATGTGGCTGGCTCCTGCCCGGCTGGCTCGCTTCCTCTGTATCCACAAGACTGCTCTACCCTCCAACGGCAGTTCGAGGTGGTAGAAATGACACCAAAGTTGGGCTCTGACTTGAGGGACCTGAAGGGTCTTTATGCCCCTAAATTTTGCTCAACAGACCTCAACTTCCTTCCAAGTCCTCTCCAACTTGCTCTGCTCCACCAGACAGCCAGACTCACCCACGGCTCCTGTTTTTTCCTGCTCCACACTCCCCAAGGCTTGTCCATCCTTCCTCAATCCTCCATCAGGCCTTTTCTGTCCCCACCTCCAAAGCCTTGGTCCAGGCCACCATCCACTCACCACTGGGCCCTGAACCAGCCTCTAAGTGCCCCGCATCTCACCCAAAGCCATCATCCTCCACACAGAAGCCTTTCTACAGATCTTTCTACAATGACCCTGTCATTCTTCCTCTTGAGAGGGTGTGTCCTCTCCTCTGTCTTCACCTGTCAAGAGTTTTCTAATCCTCAAAGCCCCAGATCAAATTGCTGCCTGCTCTGCGAAGCTTTTGTTTTCATTTCAGCAAACATTTATCTAGTACCTAACATGGGCCAGGCACTATGCTAGGAATGGAGGGAATAGACAAACTCCATCTACAGACAATCTGGGGAGATGGTCAATTAAGCAGGGCCAATGTGTGTGTACTTCCTGTCTGTTAACTCTCACTGGACTGTGAGCTCCTTGAGGGCAGGGCTAATGTAGGGGTCATTTCTTGGCTTCAGAGCCTCGTACAGGGCCAGGCAGGGAATAGGACGCGGTCACTGTGGAATGAATGAATGAGTGAATGAATTAAAGACCTGACCAAGCTCCTTCCTTTCTCATTTGTCCTCCAAGCCTCCGATTTAGCCAGTGACCAAGTCCATGGAATTCTGTTGGGACTGGATAGCAAACTTAGGGCTAAATGATGAAGAATCAGCAAAAGGTTATGTTGTTTATAGAGTGATGTTTTGCGAAACTACAATACTTAATTTCCTATGTAATCACACCATTTGACAATCGCTTTTTCTGAAAATCAACGCTGTTTCCTTCCCAAGACATAGACTGGGGAAAGGTAATCCGTAATGGAACAGCAGTGATTTGTTAAATCATCAAAGAAGCTATGTGATAATATCAAAAGATTTAAAATGTAATAATTAACATTATTGCCAAGGTGACCAAAGAAGTAAGCTCTGGGATGCACAGACGGCAGCCAGAATGCCAGGGTTTTAATCCCACTCTGCATTTTCTAGCTGTGTGTCCTTGAGCAACTTACTGACCCTCCCTGTGCCTCACTTTTCCCATCCATAAAATGAAGAAACCATTAGAATCTACCTCTTATAGTTATTTCTGCCAATTCAGTGAGTTCATATTGTAAAATGCTTAGAATGGGTCCTGTCGCGCAGTTAGCACTCACGGGTACCTGTTAGTTCAAATGGATAGCAGGTTATTCCAGGGGCAGGATGAGCTGTGGGAGCCCTGGTGTGGAATTTGCCATCCTTAAGGGGGCAGGACCAGTGGCTTGGAATCCTGGACCTGCTTTCATGAACTTGAGAGGTCCCTGCTGGTTTTTTCCTCAGTTTCTCCAACTCTAAGGTTTTTTTTTTTTTTTTTTGCTCCAGACTTGGGAAACAAGTGCTGCTGTTTTAGCAAGGACTGTGGCGACATCTAGTGGTAATGTGGGCAAGTGCCCAATATTCTTCCTGTCCTCAACCCATTAATGATAGGAACAATAATGATGTATTAAGCTCTTCCCGTGTGCCAGACACTGAGCGTTGACATTGTTAATCTTCAGTGTAATTCTATAAAGAACAGATTGTATTATCTTTATTTTAAAGACCAGGAAAAGAAGATTCGGGGAGATG